ATGTGCTGGCCCTGGGCCTTCTGCTAACCATGGGCAACATCATTACCTGTTCCTTAACAATGGGCCAAAAGCTGCTAGCAATCATTCTGTAGCTGAAGCCTTGCTGCTTTTCCTGGAGAGCCTGCCAGAGCCTGTCATCTGTTACAGTGCCTACCATAACTGCTTGGAGTGTTCTGGCAATTACACAGCAAGCAAACAGGTAAGGGGAAGCACTGAGCACCAGCATACACATGTTGCTAGCCCTAGGCAATGAGGCCTGATGAACAAAGTGGGCATACTCGCTGAAGTCTTAGAAACTCAGTACCATGTCTTCCTTCTCAAACCTGTTCTTCCTCTTGAGTCCTTTTTTTTTTTAAATAGCATCACCCTTAATTTCAGTGACTCGGTCCCGAAACCTAAGTCATTTCTGACTCCTCTTTCTCCTTGCCTCCCACATGCCTGGATCCATTGATCTATCACTCATCCTCTATCTTCCTTTCTCATTCTGCCTACCTGGGTTCAGTTCCCTGCATTCAGGCTCTCCCTCTGCTGACTTGTTTTGCATACTGTCATCCAAAGCATACAGTATTCTAAAGTTCTCCTTATGTTGGTAAAAAAAAAAAAAATTAGAGGGGTTGGGGTTGTAATTCACATGTGAGCCACTGGGTTTGCTCCTCAGCACCACATAAAAATAAATAAATAAAATAAAGGTATTCTGTCCATCTACAACTAAAAATATACATTAAAAAATCACATTTGGAATGTGGCATGTATACACAATGAAATATTACTCAGCAATAAAAGAGAATAAAATCATGGCATTTGCAGGTAAATGGATGAGTTAGAGAAGATAATGCTAAGTGAAGTTAGCCAGTCCCCAAAAACCAAATGCCGAATGTTTTCTTTGATATAAGGAGGCTGATTCATAGTAGGATAGGGAGAGGGAGCATGGGGGGAATAGATGAATTCTAGATAGGGCAGATGGGTTGGAAGGGAAGGGAGGGGGTATGGGGTTAGAAATGATGTGTAATATGATGATCATTATCCAAAGTACATGTAAAAAGACACAAATTGGTGTGAATATACTTTGTATACAACCAAGGATATGAAAAATTGTGCTCTATATGTGTAATAAGAATTGTAATGCATTCTGCTGTCATATATAAATTAAAAAAATGATTAGCAGTATACAAAATAGAATTAAGGCAAAAATCATTAAATGCCACATACTGATTAATTTTCTAGTTTTAAAAATAATATTCTGTAATGAATATTTAACAATTTAAACCTTTGTATACTAAATACTATAACATTGAAATAACAAAATCAGGGCTGGGGTTGTGGCTCAGTGGTAGAGTGCTTGCCTAGCACATGCAGGGCTCAGGGTTCAATCCTCAGCACCATAAAAATAATAAATAAAGGTATTGTGTCCAACTAGAACTAAAAAATAAGTATTAAAAAAAGAAATAACAAAATCAGTAGAAAAGTGTCATGATGTGAATATTTGTGTCCCCATCCAATTCTTATGTGGAAATCCTAAACATGGAGATGATGGTATTAGAAAACTGGGCTTTGGGAAAATGATTAAATCACATGGGCAGCAATATGATTGGAATTGGTGTCCTGACAAAAGAAGAGTACTGAGAGCTAGCTAGTCCATCCCAAAATGCGAGAACACAGTGAGAAAGCACCATCTACGAGTCAGGAAACAGACCCTCACTCAACACTGAATCTGCCAGTATCTTGATTTTGGACTTCTCAGTCTCTAGAACTCTGGGGAATAAAGTCCTATTATTTGTAAGCTAAAAAAAAAAAAAAAAGGGGGCTGGGGATGTGGCTCAAGCGGTAGCGCGCTTGCCTGGCATGCGTGCGGCCCGGGTTCGATCCTCAGCACCACATACAAACAAAGATGTTGTGTCCGCTGAGAACTAAAAAATAAATATTAAAAATTCTCTCTCGGGCTGGGGATGTGGTTCAAGCGGTAGCGCGCTCACCTGGCATGCATGCGGCCCGGGTTCGATCCTCAGCACCACATACCAACAAAGATGTTGTGTCTGCTGATAACTAAAAAATAAAAAAATATTAAAATTCAAAAAAAAAAAAATTTTCTCTCTCTCTCTTCTCTCACTCTCTCTAAAAAAAAAAAGTCATACTTGGTTCTCCACTGTCAATTATTTTCTTAAATATTCAAGACTTTCAATACCTGTTGTACACTGAACCGTTTTACGGTTCAGTGTACAACAGGTATTGACAGAATAATCTAGAAAACTGGCCAGTAACATAAGTTCCAGAGCATGACCCCACATCCACTGAATCAATGTGTCTTTTGATATCTATTTTATACAAATTCCCCAGCTGAGTCTGATGTATAGATAGCTTTTCATTGAATTCTAGCCTGAACAACTGCTCCTGTTAAAATGGTTATGCTCCTTCCAAGATTGACACATCAAGTGTTCTCTCAGCTTACCTTCTGTTTTCCTTTTTTTTTTTTTTAACATTTTTTTCTATCCCACATTCCCTAGTCCTTACCTCTACAAATCCAATTTTGTCTTATATTCAGGACCCAACAAAATATCTTTTATTCCTTTTTATTCTCCCTGAGAGCATGAAGTTAGAAATCTGACCTCTAAATTCATGTAGAGTTTGACTTGTGCTCTTTTTTGGTACTTATGCCAAGTGGTGCTCTTTTTTGGACTTATGCCAAGTGGTAAGGGATTGTTTTTCTGTGCATAGTCTTATGCACATTCATGGATCACATACTCAGTTCTTGGAGTACAGTCACCAACTTGACAAATAATTGAATGAACAAAATGACAAATTCGAACTCTTCCTCTTTCAGGTTATTTCTACTCTTCCCACATTCCACAAAAATGTCTTCAACTACTTGATGGCGTTTTTGCAAGAATTGCTGAAAAATTCAGCAAAAAATCATTTGGATGAGAAAATTCTAGGTAAGTGACCAAATGTCTGTGGCATCTCTGCAAACTGAGGATTCACTGTGAAGAAAAGAGATTGAGAAAGTTCCAAAGTACAGTAGAATTAAAATTTCAAGTTTTGGCCAAAGTTTATATTCAAATAATTTTTTTTAAGCAAAGACTGCTTTTGGGTACCCCTCCCCACTCCTAACAACATAAGAATATATAGTCCTTATTTTGCTAATCATTTATTTTCTGTGTTTTTTCATGCAGCTAGCATATTTGGCAGCTTACTGCTTCGAAACCCAGCTCAACACCAAAAGCCTGAAATAACAGAGAAAAAGAAGGCACAAGAGTTTATTCACCAGTTCCTATGCCACCCACTCTGAGCCTTTCTGTCTCATTCCTTATTTTACCCAGGGTAGCCAATTTCCAGCTCCACCTGTTGCAGCTCAAGAGATCCCTTAAAAACATTTGAGGTCATCTGCAAGCAAGAATGGCAGCTCCTGAGCCTAGATCTCCCCTCACCTGTGCCATCATTGATCAGCACACTCAGTGTTGAGCTGTGAAGACATGAGAGAAATCCACAATAATAAAACTGACGTTTGATGTTCAACTTAAGTTATTTAACACAAATAGATCTCTATTTTTTTTGTTTTTTTGTTTAAAAAAAATTTTGTACTTTTGCTCATTCAGCCTGCCTCCAGGGCACAGTCAATTCCTTCCCTGTAGCCTAGACTGAGCTCCTCATGATCAGATATTTGAACAAATTTTTGAAGTCCTGAAAAGACAATGAAATGGACATTAAGAATGTAGGTGGATGCTCCTGGATAAACAAGGTTTAGCCTCCTGAGATCCTTCGGTTGCCTAGTCTGAGGACATGTGAAAATACATATGGAACTTCTATCCTTTTCCTACTCGGATATAGTTCAATAATTCTGAGACTGGCCACTCAGCTTCTGAGGGCAATACAGTGGCTTAAAAGTAGAAACACTGAAGAACTGGGTTTTCTGGTGAAACAGGTGGAATTTTCTAGGCCAGCAAGTCCTCCAAATTGTATATGAGCATAATCCCTCTCATATTTGTAATATATTTTAATGATAAACATTTTTAAACAGTGGTGGTTGTGTTATGCTTTTCTGTCTTGATGGTGGCTGGACCCTTATGGCTTAAGCATTGAAACAGCTTATCAGGGGCTAAAGACATGTCTTGCAGTCTGGTGGATAACAGTCACTGCGCACATTTTTCAAGCAAGATAGTACAGCCATGGCCTGAACTCCTTGGCCCCTGATCTAGTGTCTAGGAGTTGTCCCACTCTGAATATCCTAGAGAAGTAGCTCATGGGAAAAACAGGCAGTGACTTCTGGGAAGATCTCACATCTAGATCTTACAGGCATTTAGAAAGGACAGGCGCATCACAGAAGCACTTGCAAAATCGCTTCTTGGGCACTGAAATGCTATAACTTCTTGGTAATTCTGTGAATTAGAGACGAGCCAGTAAGATGAATAAGAAAAGGAGTGGCCAGTAGGTGGCGTTGACTGGTCCAGGCACGAAAATCCCCTGAGGAGGAAAGTTGGGACTGCCAGCCTGGGCAGGAGTGGGAGCAGGCAGGAAACTGGGCGTCTCGTGAAAGCTTGTGAGAAGGGAAGAAGGGGCAGCGTTCCCTCTGGCTGTTTCTGGAATACTCCTAGCTCTGTCCCTTGGGTCTGCTCCTTTCTGGGACCCTCTGGCCCTGTTAACGTAGCTGGGTAATCGGACGCTGGCGCCGTAGAGGAAGTCCAAGAACACCGCAGGCTCGTCCCTTGAGGGCCCGAGTCCGGAATCTGACGGCAAACTAGGGCTCCTGCAGTAGTGTCGCGAGCTGAGCTGAGGAAACTTGGGATTCGCGGTTGGCGTCGCCCACTTCCCTTACGCCGCGAACCGCCGGCTTAAAGCCCTCAGCGCCTCCAGGC